AATGAGATATTTGTAAAGTACTTCGTAAGCCTTAAAGAGCTATAGAAATGCTAGCTGCTATTATTGTTATTATTATATGGCAAACCAGGAAGATGTTACACAAATACAAACTTCTTAGGACTACAGATTTATTGTAGCTAGATGGCCTAATAGATAAAGTACCGGACTTGAAGTCAGGAAGACCTGAGTTCAAATCTAGCCTCAGATACTCACTAGCTGTGTGACCCTGGGCAAGTCACTTAGCCTTTGTTCACCTGCGTTTCCTCATCTGTAAAATGGGGATAATAATAAATGGCACCTTCCTCTCCGGGTTGTTGTGAAGGCCAAATGTGATGGCACATGCAAAGCACTGTTCTGGCTATTACTGCTGGCTGTCCATGCTAGAAGGGACCGGCAGAGGTCATCTAAGCCAATGTGTGGATAGCACATCCACATGTAAGAATATACAAGACACAGAAGAAGCAGACACACACATAGGAAATACAAGATCTACAGAGTAAATAGGAGGTTATTTCGGAGTTGGGAGGCACTGGTAGGATCAGGAAGGGCTACATGTAGGAGATGGCATGGGCAGTGTGGACGCTTAAAGATGCGGGTGGCCCCAGATCACACCAGTGGTAAATGAGAGCTGGGATTCAAACCCAGGCCTTATGACCCCAAGTTCAGTTCTTTGTCCTCTGCCTTGTGTAGGGTCATCGATCTAGAGGGCACCTTGGAGGTCATATAGGCTCTTAGACCCATAGAAGCCAGTGGCTTCCTTAATGTCACAAAAGTAGTAGGTTGCAGAGGCAGAGTATTATAATTATTGTGTGGTTAAGACCCTCTTATGTCTTGAAGAAGAAAATTATAGGCCCCATAAGAAAGACAGCGAGGAGACAACCAGCAGTTTACTTTGCATATTTATGTATCCTCATCTCACAAATATTCCTTTCTTTTTTGTTTGTGTGCAAATAGTTTCAGAAATAAAGCCATTACAAATACTTGGAGGAGAGGAACAGGCACAGACAGAAACAATTTATTGGTCATGATCCAATAAATATCCCTAATAGAGTGGAAAAGAGATCAAGAAACATCAACACCATTAGCAAGAGTGAAACTGCAAGTTTATTTGAGAGTATAAAAATTAAAAAAAACAAACAACCACAACCCCCAAACCCCACGACCTTTCCAGTTTACAGTGACTTTGAAAATCACACACTGACCTTTACAGCTCATTTCTTCCTTTTCTTCTTTTGCATAAAATGTCAGCCTTGAGGTGGGGAGGGAGAGGAGGGACTCTGAAGCAGAAGCATCCTGGGAAAGTTAGTCCTGGGAAATGAAAGACCTACACAGCTGATCTCACTTCCTAGAATAGAGTCCAGCCTCTCTTTCTTGGTAGTGTGTAAAGTAACCTCTCCCAATGGGAAGGAGATAAGAAGGAGCGCTGGCCACTTGTTTGCCTACTTAAGGGGGAAAAAATGGTGGCTCTGAGGCCCTATTTATATTTTTACAGAATTCATTAAAAAAAAAATTAAATCTGTAATAAAAATGTCCCTGTGTTCTTTCATCATTACTAGTTTTTCCTTATCTTTGAAGACCATTTGTCTTCTCTAAGATGTCTAGAAGCAGGAGAGAGCATGAGATTAACTCACTGCCCTATTAATTAAAAATGGAATCCTTTCCCCTGACCAACTTCCAGAGTAATGGAAGACGTTCCCTTGAACAATCAAAGGGCAGAAATAAAACCAATCAATCTGACTTAGAGGAGATGATGTACCCAGCCAAAGTTTCTTTAAAACTCATGTTGCGACCAGAACTTTTTTTTTTTTAATCATTAGGCTACAGACAAAATTACTATGATACTATCTCAGAAAGAAAGACACACGGCTAGCTGTCCTTTATTAAAAATTCCAGAGTGTCTAGTTAGCTCTTTTATGAGTACCTCAAAATCACTTGCTTCAGAACAAGGTCAATCTAGCAAACTTCTCCTCTCAGCCCCATCCCTCCCTCGTCACCTGTAGTTAACATTTTAATAAGTCATTGGGATCAAATACACCATTTGCCATTCCTCGAGCCCACGGGTGAGTAAGGATCTGGCTCAGAGCTTCTCCAAGACATCGTCCCTTGGTTCCAGTTGTAACAGACATCAGTGTGACTTGACAAAATGTTGCATAGGGCTCTCTCCCAGGAGGTGGGTAGACAATTCTTCCTTTATTCTGGCATGGAGAACTGCTTCCTTCTCCTCCCTAAGCCCCCAACTGCCTCCCTCCTCAGTACACAGTCAAGGTCAAAAACCTATAGGCACAGCGCTTTGGAACAGAGAGAGGAACATTCTTCTGTTTCTGCTTCCTTCAAGAATATGATAAATAACAGCCCCCAAAGTGCATTAAGTGCACAAATTCCTAGCACGTGGGTTAGTCGAGTGTGGCTTGTTACCAAAGGTCTATGGATGAAAAAGGCACAATCTCCTTTTGCATCTGTTTCTCTTTGGACCGCATTTTAAAAAAAAGTACACCTTTCCTATACACATATAAATAGGCCCTTAACTAGAAGGGAAAACACAAACACACCATTTTAAATGTATTTCTGGCCTAGGTTGGGGGGCGGGGTTGGGAGGAAGTCCAAATGGGGCATTGTTGACGAGAACCATTTGCTGACTGCTGCCCACACCTTCCAAAGGAGGAAAACGCTCTCATGTTGAGAGGTGTCTGGTGGCCTGAGAAGGGACAGACGGTCTCTGGGAATGAAGTGGTGCTGTGGTGTAGATGAGAGCTCACCCCTCTACCTGGGATTAGCAGTTCAGTTCAAATCAACAAGCAGTTTATTAGGTGTCAACTATGGCCCAGGCACTGGTCTATGTGTTGAGGCGATACGAAGGCAACGCACTCGATAGTCCCTGCCCTCAAGGAGCTTACATTCTAATATTAACTGGCTCGCAAGAGAGTTCAAAACTAAGACACTCTTAAGGCTGTTGTAGGCAGGTGCCAACATATAAGTCTTCAAAGCAATATTTTTAATCGTGGATATGGGTTTGGAACAGAAGCCCGGGCTGATTGTGATAGAGAGAGACAGTTTAATGTAATGGATAAGAACAGTGCTCTTAGGGCCAGGAAGACCTGAGTTCAAATCCCACCATGGACGCTTACTAGCTATATGACCACAAACAAATCACTTCATCCCCCATGACCCACAGTTTTCCCATCAGTAAATGGGGATAATAATACTTGCAGTAGCTTCCTCAGACGGTTGTTGTGAGGATCAAATGAAATCATCTACATAAAGCATTTTGAAACCTTTAAAACACAAAGTATCAGCTTTTATTTCTTTCATTCTTTCTGTTAAAAAAAAAATTTGGACCTGTGAATACATCACTGTGGGAAATTCCCGGAGAAGGACACCCTCACCCCTACCTCCTAAAATATCACTTGGCCCCTAAGCTACAACTTAGAGTCTTTGAAGGTTGTCTGGGGCACTGAGAGTGACATGCTTAAGGTCACACATCCAACATGGGCATAGAGGCAAGCTTTGAACTCAGCTCTTGCTGACTCCAAAGTCAGCTCTCTATCTACTACACCATCCCACCTCTTAGGAATTATGATCATTGTGATTACTGTGAGGCAGAAGGGGGCAAAGCTAACTTTTTAGCTGACCCAAGTAGGATTCTTACTTTCTCCAAGCTCAGCGTGGAGGGGAGACCTGCCCAGGATGGGATGAGAGACTTGGGGCGCTTTTATGTTGGCACTCGCTATCAGCCTTTCACCATCTCAGGATCAGAGGACACATTTTAGGGGCTGGAGCTGCATGGAGTGAGGAGGTCAATGGGACCCTTGGGAGAGGAGGCCCAAGTTGGAATTGAATCAGGGCTGACTCTCATTCAGGGCCTGTCCAAGGACCATTCCATTTAGCCCCACTCCTTAAGTGAAGCATCCCAGGCTAGAGGGCCACGGGAAAAACCTGAGCATCTTTAGACTACTTAATCTGAGGTCAGTGAATTTTTTTTTTTTAAAATATGTCTTGATAACTATTCCAAGATAATTGGTTTCCTTTATAATCCTACGTATTTTATTTGGCAAAAAATGTATGGCAGCTAGGTGGTACAATGGAGAGACCGCTGGATGTTAGGATTGACCCAAGTTCAAATCTAGCCTCAGATACTAGCTGTGTGACCCTAGGTGAGTTGTTTCACCTCTATCTGCCTCAGTTTCATCATCTGCAAAATGGGAATAATAATAGCACCTACCTCGAGGGTCAAATGAGATCTTATTTGTA